TGTATATTGAAAGAGATAGCCAAGTCAATCATTATAATAAGTTTAGTGGTACCTGTCCCACAAACTGAGAATTTATGTGAAGAAGTTCAATTGGACACCGTTGAACTTTGAACAATAATTCTTTGAAAACGGAAATTATGAAAGATCTAGAGCAGAAACATTAACATTTGCAGCAAAAAGAAAGAAATAAACTTAAACATTTATTATTCAAATATGAACACGTGTTTTCGAATATTCATACAAGGATAAACAAAATGTTTCATGACGTTGAAATTGTTGATTCAAAACGTGTAAAACAAAACCAATACAGGATGGACCATCTCAAACAGGAATACTTGAAAAAGGAAATTCAGTATTTTCTGGAGAAAACGATTTCATAGAGCCCAGTAGAAGTGATAGGAGTTCATGCATACTTGTTCCGAAATCGGATAAAACTTTCCGTATATGCACTGATTATAGGAAGGTGAACAGATTGACAAAAACAGATTCATTTCCGTTATCAAGGATCGATGTTTTCATATATAAAATAGGAAATGCTAAGTACGTCACCAAATTTGACCTTCTAGAAGGATTTTGGCAGATTCAACTTACGGAAAGAGCGAAAGAAATTTCGGTCTTTGTGACTCCAGATGGACTTTACCAGTAATGCCGTTTGGGATGAAGGGTTCCCCCAAGTACGTTTCAACGTATGAGGAATATGATTACGTTCGGTCTAGATAATTGTGACGCTTATATTGATGACATCATTATCTACAACGACACCTGGAAAGGACATCTAACCACGATTCAGAAATTTTTTGAAAGATTCACAGATGCAAATTTGACAATCAATTTATCTAAAAGTGAGTTCTGCCGTGCTTGTGTGACTTTCTTAGGACATATTGTGGGACATGGTAGAGTAAAACCTATTGACGCAAAATTAAAGGCTATCTCTGATTTTTCCGTGCCTGTCAGTAAAAAGAAATTAATGCGATTTTTGAGTATGGCCGGATACTATCGAAAGTTTTGTGCAAATTTTTCCAATATGAACCTCTGACAAATTCGTTAAGTAAGAGAAATAAGTTTCTCTGGATCGAAAAATGTCAGGAATCTTTCGATAGGTTAAAAGCAATAATCAAAAGTGCGCCGGTTCTAATTTCAATTACTCTTTTAAATTGTTTGTGGATGTAAGTGATGTTGGGGTTGGAGCAGTATTGATTCAAGAAGACAGTGATGGCATTGATCACCAATTTTGCTATTTCTCCGCACCAAAGAAATTACTCAACAATCGAGAAGGAATGTTTAGCTTTAATTTTGGCATCGCAATATTTTGTGGTGTACCTTAGCTCGGCTCCTTCAGTTGTTGTGTATAGTGATCACAACGACCTCACTTTCATCGACAAGATGAAAAATAAAAATCAAAGATGATTAATGTGGAGTTTGTTTTTGCAAGAGTATAATCTGAACATCAGGCACATCAAAGAAAAAGACAATTTGATTGCAGATGCACTTTCCCGTGTATAGAAATATTATTTCATATACACTTTATATAATTCATCAGAATATTCTTATGTGACATTCTTTACATCCTGTATAAACTACAGATGGTAAAAAGAAAGCTTTATTATATAAATATTTCTTTTTGTCTTTATGGGGTGATGTTTTACATTTATGTGATTAAATTGCTTGTGTGTAAGGTTAAAAATTCTTTTAATTTTATTTTGTTTCATTCTCTTTTATTACAATGAATATTTTTCTCGGATTCGGGATTCTATTTTCAGTAGTGAGATATATATTTTTATCACAAAGATTTTTTACTTAAGACGAAATAGTAATACGTGAGAATTGACATTGAGTCCTTATTACCTTGGTAACAATATCAACAGGAAGTTTAAATGATTGGTCAGTGTGACGGATATACTTTCTTCGCGTGATCACTTTTTCTAAACAGCCTTTTTATGATTGGTTTTTTAAGTGGAACGACATTGGGCTACGTGTTAATTTTAGAGCAGTAAGAGACCCAATGACCAATCTCGCGAGATTTGAAGTGATATTTTGAGTTTAAATACGCATTCTTAATATTGTTTTGGGCAGAATCATTCAAAACCTTGAAAAAACAAGGTATTATTTAAAATTTGTTGCCAGAATATTTTATTCTTTGTCGTATTTTGGATTTAATAATTTATTCTCCTGGACACTCAACAAGTTGACTTTCTTATAAATAATTTTGAAAGATATTTATGGAAGTTTATCCTGGAATTATTTGGAAATAAAGATTGTAATTCAAGTGAGGAATTTTTGATATTCATACATTCGACTACATCTGACTTCATCGCCGTCCATATTCGTAGGTCGTAGCGATTCGAACTTGGATTCTCATAGTGCTATTTAGTGGTAGAACGTGTGTTTTTATTATCAGAATCATTTTTGGATTATATTCACAAACTATAAGTCCTATTTACCAATTTTTACTTTGTTGTCAATGGAAATAAATTATTTTGCTAAAATTTACAAAGCTTTTTGGCTTTCACTCTTCTCTTTATTATTGATCACGAGCCCTTGTCACGTGACAATTGGTCTTCATATGCCAAATTGAAGACCTTTGAATTTGTACATTAAGCAGCAGGTGGTTTGGAGCCAGGTCAAGGAAGACTACAATTTACAATATCTCCTTCTTACCAGGAGTAATTGTACTTGGACCTTGTTTTTAAAAATTCCTTTTATTATGTTGTGGTGGCTAGAACTTCCCATCTATATGACCGATCGTCCGATACCCATTTTGTTTTACGTTCTGATTACGGTGGTTTGTTGTTGGGCTTAACGCCATTTTTCAGCACACGATAGGGTATTCATGGCGTCCAGTATTAATGGTGGAGGAAGAAACCGGGAAATCACCGGAAAGAACTACCGACCCACGAAAAGCTACTGGCAAGCTTTCTCACATATCCACATTCGTCGAATCCTAGACTCGAACCCACGCAGACAGAAGTGAGATTGCAGTGATCCGTAACGGACAGCGCTTTAGACCACTCAGCCACTCGGGGCCCCTGTACTGATTACGTATTGGATCAATAGTAGAAAATCCTTTTTCAACAGTAGCTTGTTAAAGTAAGGATGCTACTCAGATATTTGCCAGTCTCTTTACCCAAGGACCTGTTTAATGTCCCCTGTAATCTTTAATTAGCTTGTCCAGATAGGTCAGTGTTGGTGCGTGGGTGTGTCAGTGAGGGTGGGGAAGAAAGGTTTTGTGCAGGAGGTATAGCTACCTAGAATGTTACAAAATTTAAAAGTTTTTTGATTTGTGGTGTAGCGGGTAGCGCTTCTCATCTAGATGACCACTTAGTTTGTCCGATGACAATATGAAAAAGTTATACTTGGGTCCTTCAAGTAAGATATTGTTGCTGTGATCTCCTTTATTTTTCCTTTCATGTTGTTGTAGTCTTCTTTTGATCTTTTGAAGTCTTGATGCTGTTATCTTCGTTATTAGCTTTTTTTGTTCTTCAAGATGATTTATCTTCTTGTTTCGTCCGTTGTTCTATTGTCCTGTTGTGTATGTAGCTGTTAGTGCTTTGTGGTTAGTGTATTATGTTATTGTGGTGTGCGATTTAAGCGATTTGGTTGGCGTGTTTGTCTTTGGCAGTCTTTGTAAGAAGGAATTTATTGGATGTTGGTCTGGTTATTTTCGGTCCTTTGGTGAAGTGTTAGTATCATTGTAATTTATGGTAATAAGTTAAAGGGTATTGAAATGTTTCAATCATTCGGGTTTATCTTGTTAGGAGTGTTTCGGTTGTAAGGTCGATTTTGATTGGTAGCTGGTTAGATAAATTTCAGTTACTTGTTGGAGTCAATGATTATTATTACAGTATGGGGAATTGAACTAGATTATAAAGAAAACTATTTTGAAATGGAGAGGTATAGTACATAAAATATTTTTAAGATGTTGACATTAAAGCGTTGTTTATCATTGTGTGTTGTTTTAACGTTGTATATTGGATATCATTGTTTATTGTTAGTGGGGTTTTATCTATAGATAGTTTGTTAAATATTAGTGTTGGTTGATTGGAACGTTGAATGTTAATTATCAGTGGGGTTTATACCAGGGATAGGTAGTTGTTTAGCTATTAGTGTAGATTTATACTTGTTTGGATTTGTTAATGTGTGAATATTTATTAAGTTCATAGTATTATTGAAGTTTACATTGTATATCGCTAAGTTCTTTTGTTTAAGAGGGATTGAAAGTTTGAGTTGTTTGGTTTGAGTGAGGTGGGGTTGAAGCGTATGTAAGGGCGAATTTGAATGGATTTTTGATTCCGCTGATTCCAATCCTTTAATCTTGTCTTGAATGTACATAATTGAAATGTTTTAATTGTTCGGTTATTGGCTGAGTATGTGCTTTTGTTAGATAGAATTTAATTGGGATGGGGAATTTCAATCCTTTTTTGCTTGCTTAGATCTTCAATCTGTTGGTTTGGATTGTCTAATGATTGAAATGTTTCAATCGTTCGGTTTAGCTACCGCAGGTGATGTTATGTAAGGTCGAATTTGATTGGTCTTTAGGACTATCTATGTTGTTTGTTTGAATCGATGCTATTTATTTTATTCATTTTAACGGGTTACATCGCTATTGTATATGTGTTAATAAAAGTATGTTTAAGAAATACGATGTATGTCTAGATTTTGGTTTACTAACTTGCCTCTGTATTGTTAAATAAATGTTGAAACTTATGAATTTAATAGTAAGTTTAAGTGAAAAAAATATAGTGAATATTTCATTTACCTGGTGTGGTGAATTTATTTCATTGTCTGATCAGTCGATATTACCGTCAAAGATAGTCCGTTGTCGGTGATTTTTTCATTTGTTCCATTTTGGTGGGTGGGGGAGACTATCCGCTGATTCAACGGTGCGCTAGTTGTATTATTGGTTAATTACGGCTGGAAATCTTGGTTTTAGTTGTTATGTCTTCCCGATTCCAGTGTGGTCATCATTTTCCTTGGTTTTAAATGCATTTTATTTCTCTTTTGTAATCGTGGCCTAGTGGTTAGAGCGTCCTCCTCGGATTCGGGAGGTTGTGGGTTCGAACCCCTGCGAATTAGTAGTGTTTGTTGATCCTCTATGCAATACTTTCGATTATAGTTGCGTATTATACTGAGTACATGTGCGACCTGGTTGTGGCCCAGGGCTAAACGAAAGTCTTTTTAAGAGGGTGCTTGGTCCCAAGCTTGGCCTTTCTGCAGCTTATTCCCCTCGGTACGAGTATGATGACTTCCTATCCCTTTGGTCAACACGTCCAAAACATTTCTAGATCTAATCTTTGCAAGTTGCGCCTACGGGTATCCCTAACTTTGTGTAAGCCACCTATGCAACTGACCGAATGTTGAAGAGTTTGTAAATTTTAGAATAAGTTTTCGTGTTGGAAATTTGCGTACTTAGCATACTTATATGGGACTAAATTCTTTCCAATCAGGTGGATGTATGCTATCCGTTACAACTTTTAGCGTCATTTAGATGCGGAAGAAGAGGTTGAAGAGTTTGTTCGCCGTCCAAAAGGAAAATGTTTACATGGGGGTTCTTCTAGGGCCAAAATGAAGACTGAGTTACATTTTACTGGGCGAACCGCTCCGGTGGCCTAGTGGTTAGAGCGTCCGCATCAGGATGCGGGAGGTCGTGGGTTCGATGCCCGGTCGAGTCATGCCAAAGAATTACAAAAATGGTACTAACAGCTTCTCGCTTGTCGCTCAGGATTAAGAGAATAGTGTTAGGATTGGTCGGCCTGGTGTCAGGATAATGTGACTGGGTGGGACATCATGGTACATGTCCGCGGTTGTGCTAGACATCATTATAAAATCCCACACTTCATACGTCGTAGCGATATGACTGAAAAATTGCTAAAGCTACGTTAAAAATCATAATCACATCACACATACATTTTGCTGGGTCAGCAGACAACGTAGCCTGGACTGTCCCTAGCTTCAGAGCTAGTCTAGTCTGGTCTATTGCTTTAAGTCGCATATTGCACTCTGTGCATTCGCGACTGCTTGCGGCCCCAGGCTGATCGATAGTCCCTTTAAGAGGACGCTTGGCCCCGACCTAGGCCTTACTCCTTGCGTGAGTATGAGTATTGTGCCATCATAACCCCGGATCTACTCGATAACCCACTTGGTAAAGCGTTTGGCCTTGGCTGGATGACAATCCGGGTGGGTGGCATCGCTATTCCAATGAATCACTTAGCCTTTGAGTTAGAACTTTAGCCCTAGTCTGGGCCTTTCGCTTTTGCTAGACCTTATACCTTATGGTAGATCTACATCATTCACAGACAGAACACGGCTGGCCGAGGAAGGGGCGATGAAACATTAGGCGAGGCGGGCGTCACAGCACTTTCTGCATCTCGTAGTCCTTTTCCTTCTTCAGATGAGTCCATGGGCGTGTTGTTTTTGGTCAGCTCTAACATGTCCCTCTGGTGGTATTCCCGGAGGATGCTATTTTGACTGCAATGGATGTGGTGTCACGGCAATCCAATTCTGTCCAGTTGGGTTAATATATACCCTATTTCCAATATTGTGTGAGCCACTTGTGCAAGTGAGTCGAGTTAAAGAGTTGTTTAATTTTGCTGAGTTTGAATTTTTAGTACAGCGTGTACATGATTGGTTCTAAATTATTGCCAATGACGGTCTAAGCGCCTGCATGCTTGTACTTAGGTGATATGAGCTTTAGGAATTTTGACGGTGGATCGAAAGGGTCAAGGTTGGGTAAGGGCAAACCCAAAGGGGGTCTTGTGTGCCAAAAAGACCCAAAGTTGTAGCTCGAGTATATTCTCCCTCTGTTCCTAAGAGTGTTTGACTCGCTTGTCCGGGATAGGAGTCCATTTTACCTCGAAAAGTGTAAAGTGAGGCGGATTTGCTTGATCGCACCTATTTTATTTTGGTGAGAGTGGTTTCTTTTATTAGCATTGGGGAGGTGTATGCGGGGTTTTGTGGGGCCTTCAGAGCGTGCGTGCGTAAAGGATACAGGTGCCTATGCACATAGTGCTTCGCGACTGGTTCGGGTTTAGAGCCGAACTAGAGTTTCCAGAGGTTTCCCTAGGTTCACTCCAACGCAACAATATCTATGACCATTTGTGTTCCCTAACGTACAATCGATCATGTCAGGGCGAGGAAAAGGCGGCAGAGGCAAGGAATGGACGGTGCCAAGCGGCCGCAAGGCCCAAGGGCAACACCATGTTCCTTCTGTCTGGTTTCCCGCTGTTGTTTGTTCTCTCGTTGTTATGATCTAATGGTGGTGTTGGTGTCGGTTGTTGTTGTCGCTGTACGGTTTGGTATTGTTAGTCAAATTATATCCAGTTATACTAATGTTAGGTCGTTTGCCAATGTCGTTTTAGCCACCTGTGCAATTTATCAAGGTTTAGGGAGTTGTGAATTTTGAATGAAAGTTGTTGGTCTGAGTTGGAATTTTGTGTACATAGTGTGCCTTTCTTGTTCTAAAGGGTTTTAATCTGAAAGGTGTTAGTCACCACTTGTAGTAGGCAGGCAGGCATGTATATAGGTTATGTTGTTTGAACTCAGTGGTCTAAAGGGTCATATAAGGTAAAGAACCACCAAAGTCCTGTGCCAAATAACTTAGAGTTGTTGCTCAGGTATATTAGCCCTCTGTTCCTAAGAGGGTAGCATAGCTTGTCCAGAAGGAGGTTAATTCATATGTGTATGTGCGTGAGGTGTGGAGGATTGTTTGGCGTATTGATTAACAAGTTGCATCTTTTCATTTCTATGCAGTAGTCAGAATTATTTCTTTGCACTGTTGTAGTTCTGGTGGCATATGCGACCAACAACTGATATGGTGGTGACAGTTTTTTGTGAGTGTACGGAGTTGGGGGATTGTGGGGCAGCAGGTAGTGCTTCCTGTCCGCCCCTTGTATTGATGGCAGTTTTGAATGTTGTTTTTAATCCTTTCTGTATGTCTTCATCCGTTGTCTTGGATCAGTTGTTTCATTAAATCTTTTTCTCATGTTGTTCTTGGTAGTGTAGTTCTTCCTCTGTTACTTCTGAGTTGTTTTCTGTTATATCTATTTATGTTGTTGTTCTTGAAGTTTTGTTTTTGGCGTAACTTTTTATTAATCTGTAATGTATCTTTTACTATTTGTTGGCTTACTGACAGCTATTTATTAATCTTTTATGTATCTTTTCTATTTTTTATTGGCATTATGTACAGCTATTTGATACTCTTTACTATGTTTTCTTTCGGACTTCATCTTCTCGTTGCAGGGGGATGTGTGACCAATTGTAAGCTAATTGTTGATTAGTTGTGGGCCGTAAAAATTTAAATCCTATTTCATTAGTTTGTTCTTAGAATGATAAACAGATAAATGGGAATGAATTGCTAGTGGGAAGCAATATTGTACAGTCAATTTTGATTGGTGGCGAATTGTTTTTTATTGGGGGAATTGTTTTCGATTGGTTGGGAGTAAAATGATTTTTTTTCAATCCTATTTTAACAGTTAACAGTTTTCAAATCAGTTGTTCTGGAGAGGGATTGAAACGGTTTTAATAGTTCGGGTGCATTTAAGCGGAATATTTGCCATTGTAAGGCCAATTCTGATTGGTCACTAGGATACAGACGATTGGTCGCAATTTAGTATCATTTCTATGCCTTTTGTGTGTATCAAATGTCTATTGTGATGTTAAGAGAATGATATAATAGATTTCAAGACTAAATTGTAAGTGGAAGGTGGGTTAAATATATCATACATAATTTATAATGCATGTTTTAGTCAGGAGTAACTTAATCGGGTTGAACATAATTGCGATTAATTACGAGTTTTGATAATTGCGAGAACAGTTAGGTTATTTTGTTGGAGTTTACTTAGCCTTTTTGGGTTGTAACTTATATTAATAAATATATTTAAGGCTATATTTATGATTTTATTAGAGTGACAGTTTGGTTTATAAGTATTTGTTACCACGTGTCATTCTAATTTTATACCGATCACACATCCCTGTCTCCCAGTCCGCACTGTATTTGTTGTGTTTCGATGTTGTTTCATGTTTTCTTATCAGTGTCGCCCTTGATCCTCCATAATAGGTAAATCTTTATTTGAGAGCTTCCAAAAACCCGTCCATAAGCTTCGACTCTCCGTGATCGTCTGAAAAAAGACCTTTAGAGCTTCTTCTACTTCTTCTTGATGGTTTTAGTCGCATATGCACGTAGTTCTTCGGTTCTGGTTCGGGTCATGGGCTAGACCGGAGCTCAGGAAGGGTTGCTTCAAAACATAGACCTTTGACTATATGTGTTCTCTACCATTCCCTAACGCACAATCGACCATGTCCGGGCGAGGAAAGGGCGACATGCCAAGCTCGGCACCAAACAGCTGCAATGCCCCGGGACAACACCCAGCGTACCGCCAAGACCCACTTTCTGTCTTGGCTATGGTTTTTCTTCCATCTTGTTCTCTTGCTGTTGTCTGTTCCAAAATTATGTTCCAATGGCATTGTCGGTATCGGCAGTGGGTGTCGCAAGTACGGTTTGGTTTTGTTTATCAAATTTGTTTTCCCAGTTGTACTAATAGTAGGTCGTATGCCAATGTTGTATTAGCCATCTGTGCAATTTATCAAGGAGTTGGAGTTGTGAATTTTTAATGTTAGTTGTTTTTGTCTTAGAATTTAGTGTACTTTGTGTACTTTTTCTTGTTCTAAAAGGGTAATAATCAGGGTGGTGTTAGTCACCACCTGTAGTAGGTAATTTTGTGTATAGGTTATATTGTTTGAACGGAGTGGTCTAAAGGATCGTGGTTAGGTAAGGGCCACCCAGGTATTGTGCCCAATGACCTCCAGTTGTTGCTCAATTATATCAGCTCTCTGTTCCTAAGATGATTATATCGCTTGTCCGGAAGGAGGTTAATTCTTGTGTGTATGATTGTGCGGGATAGGGTTGCTGTGGCAGATTTGTTGATCAGTTACATCTTTTCTTTTTTGAATGGCAGTCTAGGACATTTCTTTTTATAATTGCAGTTGTGGTGGCATATGCAACCGACAACTGCTATGGCAGTGACAGTTTTTGTGTATGAGGACGGGGTTTGGGGTTGTGTAGCAGCAGGTAGTGCTTCC